TTGAATAGATGACTTCTTGAATAGATGTAATGACTTCTTGAATAGATATTATTAGGGCGTCTGGATAACTCCTTGTATCCAGATGCCCTAATAATATACTACTGATGTCTTTATATAAAATTCGTTAAGATTGTAAAAAACTTTGTCAATTAACCATTTTTTTAAACAAGCTTTAAATTTATCACCATTTAAACATTTCATTTCCATTGGAAGTCTGTTATAAATTCTAATCGCTGTTACATAGGTGCTGCGGTCAAAGATCGTGCTGTTTATTTTAGGGAGGACAAGACGGTCCTTGTTTCTGACGTTAACGGAATGTACATTACATATTTTAGTAAAGAAGTTACTGTGATTACGTACAAAAAGACATATTTCCAAAATATATATTCCAGTTAAAGTCAGGAAACCCTTTTCCTTGTACAGACTTCTAAGAGAATAGTCACTGGGTTTGCTATAGATTATGAGTAAGCATTGTTTTTGTATTGTGAATATTTTAACCGCATTGACAGTTTCCCAAAAAAATTACACCATACATTAGTAACGGGTATACGGGTATACACAACATTTAGTCAAGTTGGTATGGGTTAGTGGGTATATGCCCTCCACTTGAAGGGCTAGTCCTACATAACCATTGAGCCTCCCCTGGCTCAAAAAGCGTAGAGCATTCCCCCTGTAAACAAAAAATAAAAGGCTAGGCACCTTTTATAATATGAACATGATATAAATGATAAAATACCCTTAAGTTTATTTAAAACTAACCTAAACGAAATATTTGACAGGAAATGAGATGTAAGATTTTATCTTGAAGATTATCATTCTTGACCAAATTAATTTGTAACTTGACATGTTGTGACATTTTATTATTATTGTGTTGTGGTAGTCTGATTGACACAATGTGACTACACATTTGCATCCTGTTTAATATATGCGAAACATGTTTGTACTGGCACTGTCTCTTGTCTCTTCTGTTATACCATGTTAACGAATTATTATTATTATCTATTTTAGACTATAATTATTTATTTATAACGAATCGGACGTAGCGCGTAAAAGGCTACCATGGCTTCAAAATTTTGCAAATAAACATTTGTACACATTTAAGTAACATTTACAATATTTATTTCAAATATCATAGATCGAGACTACCTGCAAGACCTAAACTGGTTACCACAGATTTTTGTCATCCAAGTACGCAGAAGCTGTATAACAAAATTTTAGTGTAAAGTTTTCATTTCACTATAGTTTAAACGTAACTAATGATAGAACAAAATTGTATATAATCATTATAGTATATCTATTTATCCTGGTATAAAGCTGTGAAACAAAAGAGTCCGTCTTGTTCATTGCCCCCGGTATTCCCAGGTAGTCGAATACATTCTTTCCAATTCATCGTATTGATATCATCTAGGTATTGTGTGTGAGGACACGAGGGTGAGACCTTTTTGTTGCTTCAGCATCTATTTGAACACTACATGTATTGTGTGTGGTTCGGTAAATTGAAAAATAAAATGCATGATTATTTTTCCGATGTTTATGACTTTAGCGGTATAGTTAATTTATTTCTAAAATTAAAATTAAATCATAAAAACAAAATCTCAAAATGTCCTTTATGTCATGGAAAAAAAATACTTTTTATTTTTTTCCCTCTATCAATGGCCATCAAGGAACTAAATTTTTTTTCCCAAAACGAAGTTAAATGACGTTTGTGGGGTTGTCATTTTATTCCATGTAGTTGTTATCGACTGCGTTATCGATAAATAGTGAAAGGAGATAGTGATTCCTTATCGTCTTTTTGTTCTTATTTTAACAGTAGGCCCATTGGTATTGAAATCAAATTCGACACTATCTTGTTTCTTATAGATGATATATAATTTTACTATATATTTAGTTTTTTGTTTATGAACTTTACTTGATATTATTTTATTTATTTATATATATTAGCGCTTTGAACGGTTATTAAAATAAAGAAAGAATTTATGTTTGTGTGATATTAGGCCATTTATTGCGTACGTACGAACAATATTCAGTTGGTAGTCGATAGAATATTTATCAAGTGCAATCACTAGGCGCTTCTAATGAAAACAAATTTCGAATTGAAAATAAAATAGTACACTTTGGCAGCCGGCCGGTAGCACCTGATTGGTTTATTGCTTGACATAAAATAAAAAGAAAATGAGGTGATAAAAAAAATCGTTAGGGCAGATTTGCCTAACAAGAAGAATTAGCAAGGAAATTTAAGTTAATTTGAATTATCTATCACATATTAAACGTCTTGCGGCCCAAACAACGCCCTAATTTGGAATTTTACGTATTAGCACAAAAAATATTTAATATATTACCGGAAGCTGTTAAAGAATTAACTTGTAGACATTTTAAAATGAAATAGCATAATTTGTTATTTACGCAATGCATGCAATTGATGATTTTTAACTTGATAACATAAAATAATTTAAAAAAATAATTTAATTTGTAATTTAATTATTGCATTTTCTTTGACTTTCTATTTTCCGGTTAAATTCCAATCGTCGTTATTTAATAATAATAATAATAATAACGCTCACACTCAACATAGCCCCGCACTAGGGAAACCCTGTGTCGCGGGTGCCATGGACACACACATAGACAACCACAAATTACACCCAAACTCACGAGAGAAATAAATGTAGGCCATACAAATATTTCTCCCGGCCCGGGAATCGAACCTGGGACCTCTGCGTGGCAGTCCGGCATGGTAACCGTTCGGCCACGGAGGCAGTTTATGTTATGTTATATTTGTTTATGCTATTGTATTAATTTAACTT